CATGGTGGAGAGCGTCGACGAGCTGTTGGACAAGCTGAAGAACGAGGCTAAGGTTTTGTGAGACGGGGGGGTGCCGAGGGAGGGCCGGGGGGGGGGGAAGAAGCACATCTGGCGCACGTAGATTAAGTACAGAGGGTACGACCAAAGATTATATCCTGGAAAGCGCGTTGGAAAACATGTGTGCGTAGGCTTCATGGTGAGATGTGAAAAGGAAAGGAAGATCTGGAGTGAAGGAAGGGGAAGAGGCCCTGGCGGCCTGGTGGAATAGTTGAAGCAAGCAAGAAATATGGAGAACAAAGCAATGGGGGATAGAAGGGGATCCTCTATCACAGAAACGTGTACCCGATAATATCCCGTGCATTTTCTTTTCTGATCTTGATTTTGTACGTGTGTCCTCACGTTCAATTTTCTTTTTGTGATCGCGAGAAGCTCGAGATATAAACATATGCTGGCATATATTGCTTTCCAATGATGCTTGACCCCCTTACAATACACGCTTGGCCGCAACCTGGGAGATGATAGCATGCTCCAGCTCCGTCTCCTCCTTTTCTCCTTCACGCCCTCCCCCCTTGTCTCCTTGTCGCTCCTGTCCTTTATCCCCCCCCCCCACAACCTTGAACACCTTCCGGAAAGCGGCGGCTCTCTCCACAGGCATGGGCCGCGCGTCAAGGCATGACAAGACTCGCTCCGCCGGGACCGCTCGCCCTTGCACGAGTGGGAAGACTTGTGTACTAATCACGGGGACGGGCGTATCGATGAAGGCTAAGAGCAGTCGATCCGTCTTTGTCGGGGCTGCCCCCCCCCCCCCGCCGAAGATCCGAAAGGCCTCGGAAATGCTCGTGGTGGGGGACAACGAGTAGAGAAGCTCAGCGTGCAAAGTCTTGACCGCCATTGTGCCTTGATTGGCATGAAGAAGGGCGATAGAAGCCGCTAGAAGCAGGTGGAAGGACGAGAAGATCATGTCCGGGTTAATGAGTGCGAAGTCGGGACTGTTGCCTGCAAGCAAGGTCTCACGGACGGCACTCGCGTTCTTGACATCTTGGAAGAGGAGGAGGCAGAGCTGTCATTTAAAAGTGGGTCGAATTGCAATTATTAGGACTAAGGACTCAGACGTGCAACATTCCCGCCTTTGCACCTACGTTCATGTCCTATATCTGCTCTCTGACAGCTACCCGGGTGCAGCAATCGCTTCTTTTAGAAGTGTTCCAATATTCCTTACCGTGTGCTTTTCAGGGAACAGTGTAGTCTTGAAGACAAAAGAATCGCTATGGTTTCCATTCGCTTCATTGCTGGATCCTAAATCCTTGTTTCCTGAAGCTGATACCTCCACTGGCGCTGCCCGAGAGGCATCCCAAGATATCATCATAGTGTTTTGAGCTCACCGGCCGAGGCCGCGCTCTTTCCTGGCCCAAATACAATGACACTGACATAAAAGGTAAGATAACAAATCAAATTGGGCCATGTTAACGTACGCTGAGGTTTTAAAGTACGACAAGGGGCTGTACACTTTTTATAGGGTTGTGAATGACGGCAATCACTTGCTTAAATCTGGTATTGTTGGTACAATATCTGTGCAAATGGCACGATAAAGAGCTTCACGATGCTCGTAATGCATACTTCATGCCAATCCTCGACTTTGTCGATTCATTTATTGTTTTAAAAGACGTGCGGGCCGCGGTTTGAACCCAATTTCGATGTCATACGGGGGTCTCGTCCTCCTTGGTTCCATCTCATTCCTCTCTGAGAATCTCATTTGTGCTCCCCAAAAAAAACATGGCCCGAAGGCTTCGTGAAGTGATTCAGCTTCCGTTTTGTTTCCACAATAACGAAGAACTATGTTCATTTTCATTCATGAATTCTCACATTAATAAGCAATTCGTTATGGTCTTGCCGAGTAGAGCAATCGCCAAAAAAATTAGGACTCCGGGCTAAGGCGGGCCCTGTCCTCCAGTTCGCAACCAAGCCCCTGTGTCGATACGTGATAATTGCATGCGAAACTCAATGCCTCTGTATTATCGAGCGTCATTGGGGTAATTTGTATCGTGTGCGATCTGTTCCACACGTTGCATCGGCAGGTTTTCCACTGGGGGCCATCAACTTGCCCAACCCTCACTATGGCTGTCCTCTTTTCCTTGGTATATATTTTACGACACGAGTCTTAGTTGCTTGTACCCTCAACTTTGCACCAAGGGCAAAGAACCAGGGTGTTAAGGTCTCACTTTATGGAAGCATGGATTCTAGCACCGAAACGTGTGTTCTGAATGATTGCATATGCATCAGTTCGAGCAAGCACAGAATTAAGGAGAGAGCTCGTCGAGACAGCGCGGCTTCACACTTCCCGCCGGATATTTCTTCTCCATTGTTTTATACCAACACATTATCATTATCATTATCAACGAACAGTGAAGAGTCAACTGTGCCATCACAAGGCGCGGAGGGGCTGACAAATGGAGAGGTAAGTACGATGGCTTTCCTCCTCTCTTCTTTCCCGGGCGTCGTCACGGTACAAGAGCTTTCTTATTTAACATCTCTTCCCCCCCCCAACCTGCGTGTCTACATGCACATCTACCTCAGATATCAAAAAATAGAGAAAAATGGGGGTGGAAATTTAGGAGAAGGCACATACGGGGTGGTGTACAAGGCCCGAGACAAGCAGACAAATGATATAGTGGCCCTGAAGGTGCGTGGAGTGGCCCGGGGTCTGGTCACGTATCGACATGCTTGCAATAGGCGCAATAGCCCTTGCCTGGGACGGGAAAGGCAAAGGAGACAGCGAAATGCGTGGCAAAAACTCATGTATTCCAAAGGGGATGAGCGGAAGCACGCATTACAGCCAGCGTCCTGTATGTCCGAGTCCGCCGCTTTGAGCCCTCTCATGAACAACCCCCCTCATATGCACAGAGGATTCGGTTGGAAATGGAGGACGAGGGGATACCAAGCACGGCGTTGAGGGAGATCTCGCTGCTTCAAGAGCTGCGCCACCCTTGCATCGTCGAGTACGAGGGGAAAGGGCGGGCGGCGCTGGGCGGGGAAAATGGAGGGGGAGGAGAGGGAAGAGAAGGAAAGAGTGACATTGATCGTGGCCATTGTGTCTGTGTCGGTCTCTTGCTATGTCGAGCGACGGCTTGGAGACGTCCACCGACATTCTTGCTTCCCCTCTCTTCCCCCCTCAACCAGGCTCCTGGACTGCGTTCAGAGCGAGGGCCGCCTCTACCTCGTCTTCGAGTTCGTGGACCGGGACCTGAAAAAGTACATGGAGGCCCAGCCAGGAACGCTCTCCCGGGGCGTGGTCAAATCCTTCCTCTTCCAGATCTTCCATGGCCTCGCCTTCTGCCATGCCCGCGGCATCATGCACAGGGACCTGAAGCCTCAGAACCTCCTGGTCTCCAAGGAGGGTCGTCTCAAAATCGCCGACTTCGGCCTCGCCCGGGCCTTCGTCCCCCCCATCCGCCCGCTCACCCACGAGGTGGTGACGCTGTGGTACCGGCCACCCGAGATCTTGCTGGGCTCCCAGACCTATGCGCCCCCCGTGGACGTGTGGGCCTGTGGGGCCATTTTTGTCGAGTTGCTCTGCAAGCGGGCCATGTTCCAGGGGGACTCGGAGGTCGACCAACTCTTCAAGGTACTTGTCTGCCTCCCCTGGGGTCCTCGCTCGTTTTCTCCTTCCACCTTTTTCCCGCCTCTCGATCCCGTCGAACGCCTGTCTCCGCTTTTTAAACCCTTCTTTCCCCCTTCCCTCACACACTCGGTTCCCCCCATACCTACCGTACCTCTACATTACGCGCTCGCCTAGATTTTTCGCTCGTTAGGCACCCCTTCAGAAGAGACGTGGCCCGGCGTGACGGCCCTCCAAGACTGGAATCCGGCCTTCCCCGTCTGGCCCCCCGTGAAGCTCACCAAGTACTGCCCCTCAATAGATGAGGCGGGCTTGGATTTGCTGGAGGTAGGAGATTGCCCCGGACCCACAGCCGTGTTTGACGCATGCGCCAAGGAAGAACTGGGACCCGAGGGCCTCTGGTGTGCTCGCTGCCTCTTCCACGCGGTCGTCTTTGGATCTGGAATGCATCGCAGGTCTGCTTATTTTCGACCCTCTCTCTCACCCCTACTATTTTTTCACGCACCCCCTCGAGCAGAAACTGGTGGTGCTTGATCCCAAGAGCCGGATAAGCGCGAAGACCGCCCTGTACCACCGGTACTTTGATGACTTGGACAAGCAGCAATTTCGGCAATGAGCCGACTCGACCCCCGGGCCGGGACAAGGGAGGACGAGGGAGGAAAAGCTGGGAAAGTGGAGCGGCCGCGTGTTGTGTGGAAATTTAAGGCGTGGGCTTCCAGGGCCAGGACGTGGTGGAGCTACAGGCGATGCCCGAGGCTGAAAGGCAGGGGGCGAGGGAAATCGAGAGGGGTAGGAAGGGGGCCTGTTCCGTGCACGGAAGTGCCCAAAATTATATTTGAGAGTTTGAAGAAAAGAGAAATGTCGCGGAGACAATCCGATGCTCTTATCGCTGCGGAAATGGTGGTCTGGTAGTTTTAGCGTCAGTATCTGATGCAGGTGGTCGCGTGAAGATATGAGGAAAGATGGTATGTCGAGACAGCTGGTAAGAGGGTTCTTGGCAGTGAGGTACTAAGGAAGTAATCCTTAGTACCTCACTGTCACTATCCGAGGGAGCAGAAGAGACAGCGTTAGGCGAGTTCGGGATGGGTTGCCGAAAGGGAAGGATGACGGAGGTTCAGGATGAGTGGACGGACGAGTTGCTAGGGAATCGCCTGACATCGGTCGTCTTTGCGCAGGATGCACGCAATGGCCGTGCTCGGATTCGAAATGTGAAAGGAGCGGTGTGAATGGATTCTTTGCCAAGAGAGACGAGGCTTGGAATTCGCCTGTATGTTGTGCCAGCTTACCACGGAGGGAAAAAAGCGACCCGCCCCGACGTGGAAATGAAAACTCGGTGGAAAATGGTTGAGGAGCAAGCGTGGTTGCACATGGCACGCTTCCCGGCTCTTTCTGTTCGCTCTTTCTTTCCTTCGATCATCTTCCGGCTGGTCTGTACTCCAAACAAATGATCACTTGCTTCACGCTCGCGCCCCTCAAAGGGTCGTCGCGTTTTCCGACTTATACGTGTTTGCACACAATGGTATTTCACACGGAGCATCGCTGGCTCAGTACCGCACACCCTCAGCGTCCTTTACGCGCTGTCCCTCTTGACACCCTTCCCTTTCCATGAAATTCCTGCTCACATGTACTATCGTCTTTTCCGGGTCGTTTCAACCAGTAACTTTGCGTGCGATATGTGTGAGATCGTGTGCAGTGCCTTTCCACGCACAACACAAAGCTGTTACAAACAAGTATGATTTAAAAGCACATAAAATCTCTTCCATCCCCTGTCATTTTCCCTCTTCGTACACTTTTGCTGGAAGTGCTCGCGACTTCCGCTGGTAGCCAACCATCTCAATCCCTTCGATCTACCTGTCAGTCTACATCTCGTGCTGAGAAATCTCAGTCTCTCGGCTTTAATCCAAAAAATCGATACTTGTGGACATGGCGCGGCACGCCCTTTAATTTTAAACGCTCCTCGATAAGTCACGCCGGGCCCGGGATCAACCATTTGCTCCTCGGCAAAGTAGCCATCGGGGGCGCCCATCTCGACCGCAGCGAGTGCGACATGGCCTCTGGAGCGGGCCTGGGAACCCCATCCTCTGTGCCCCCACGCCTCCATGCAAACCCACCTCCTGCACGCTGTCTGCCTCCCTCTCTCCACAAATTACTTCCACCCCACCATCCGTCATTCTCCCGCTTCTCTCTCGCCTCACAACCGCCTGTTCCATCAGTCCAGGCTGCACTGAAAAAAGGCCATCGAATCCTCTTGCGGTTTCACCAACGAGATGGTGATGTGCAGATTCTGCGCCTCCTGGCCAAGGCCCCCGATCCCCACCTTGGGCAGGGCCCGCCTCGTCAATCGCAGCATTTTCGAGTCCTCCTTCTCCTCTTCCCCCCCGCTCGGCTGGTTAAGCATGCGGGCAACGGCCGCAAAGGTGTCCTGCAGCTCTTCCGGAGCCACCAGGTTGAAGAACGTCAAGCGCCCCAGTTCCGCCTTGGTGTATCCTGTGGCCATCTCAAAGCGCACATTCGCGTCGATGAATCGCCCCTCCACCGACGCCACGGCCAAGGGGGTGCTTACCTGCTTGAAAAGGGAGTGGTAGCCCACGCCCCGCGCCACCTCCCGGTCCTCCCGCACCGAGGTCGCCGTCGCCACGGACAGATCGCTCTCGCTCCGGCCGTTCCTCTGGCCCGCGGCCTCCACGCTTGTGCCCACGCCCACGTCCATCCCTTCCTTCACTCCCTCCCCCTCCTCCCGCCCGCCCTCCCGGCCCAGCACCATCCCCCCCACCTCCTCCTCCAGCTCCTTGATGTAATCCTCCACACTCAGGAGGATCGCCATCTTGCTGTTCTTCTTCACCTTGCGCCCCTCCTCCTCCAGCAGGCTCTTCAGGTGACCGATCTGCTGGCTGATCTTCAAGGAGCGCTTCTGCTCCCGGGCGTTCCGATCTTGTTTGCGCTTCACGCTCATCGCTCCCGCCCCCCGCCCCCCGCCCCCTCCTCCACCCGCGCCGGACGAGAAGAAACCCTCCAGATCCATCGTATCCACCAGGCCCTCTGTCATCGGCGTCGATCCCTCCGGGCATTCACGC